GTTCTCATTGTTAATGTTCCAATACTGAAAATGTATGGGAATGGAGTTGCTTTGTTTATTTATTTCTGAGGTGTGCCTCGTTAAAACCTTCCTTGGCCAAAAACCCTTTTCTTTAGCGAGAAAAAAGGCTGAGGAGGAAAAAGAGTACATCACCTGAATTTACAAGTTAATAAAATTTGAGGTGGGTGACATTCCAAGTTCTAAATTTCCCTTCAGAGGGGTCTATTCTTGCCTCTCTCATCCCACCAAACAAGGTCGCCAACTTTAAATGTTTGTGGCCTAACCTTGGTCTTGCATTCCTTGTGGTTTTTCGCGAACCTGGTTACGAAAAGCAGACTGCTCTTCCATCTGAATGTACCCTGCAGCTCGGGCACGGAGTTCGTCCATATCAAGAGGAGATCGTCGACACAGGCTGTCCACGAAAGGTCCAGGCTTGAGCGCCATGAGCATGGCGTGTAGGGCGACCTCGGGGTTCAAGTTTCGAATCTTGACCGAGATACTGGAAAATCGTTCCATGAACGCCCTCAGTGATTCGTCGTCGCCCTGTCTGAGACTGGCCAAGGCAGCTGATGTGACATGGTGAGGTCGACTCGTGGCATACTGCACCGTGAATCGCCTTACCAGAGTGTCGAAGTTGTCTATTGACTCTACCGGCATTTGAGTGTACCAGTTGAGCGCTGCCCCCTGGAGCGAGGTCGAAAACACATAAAAAGCATAGCATATTAATTAGTGTATAGGTTTACCTGGGTAATGTACAGATCGACGGGATCATCTGGGTCTGTCGTGCCGTCGTCGCGGTCGGTGTGGAAAGGCTTCCATTCGTGAGGGAGTGGCGTCTCCATGATGCCATCCACAAAAGGATGACGACGGAAGGTTGTTTGACCCCACGTGACATGAGTAGGGGCCTTGCTGACTTCATGGGTCGACTTGTTCGTCGGTGCGTGAGACCGATGCGTGGCAGGTCGCGGAGTCGGTGTCCTAGTCGCTGTCCGGGGTTGAGAGACCGAATTCCATTCTTCCTCGTAGAGGTTTCTCGCCTGAGGAGGATGATCAGAAGGGCGTCGAGGGAGCTGGGCGCGAATCCGCTCGTTCCCGGCGCGTAGTGCCGCTAGGTCAGCTTCATTAGCGGTCCGCATCGCTGCGAGGTCAGTTTCGTGCTTGGCACGCATGTTTTGCAGATCGGCGTCGTGTTGTTGCCGCATCTGTTCGACCTGATCGGTCAGCCTCCTTAATGCCGCTTCACTATCCATGGTAGTTGTATGATCTGTGTCGTCTGTTGCGCGTCTGCTATGGCTTCTGGTGCAAACCATAAGCGTGGCCAATAAGAGCTGTCTTGATCGGCCCCACGGTGGGCGCCAAATGTTCTAACCGGAAATCTGCTGTAGAGCTGATCTGGCAGGTAAGATCGGTGAGCCTCCTTCACTGGTACGCTGGTGCTCCAAGATGGGGGTGGTACCTGCAAAAGAGACTCTGATGCTAAAGTTAGTGTTTGTGGGAGTATCAGTCTCGTATATGTAATGCACGTACCTTTGTGTAAATTAGGGTTTTGTTGGGCCTTGGGCCTGAGATCAGTTTATGACCTAATTGGATGTAGGGCTGACGTGGCCTAGCGCTTGTCCGAGGTCGTCTTGCGCTGTGATACCGAGCTGGGAGCTCGGCTTTGCAGTACGGATAGTACACTAGCCCCCCGAGCTCCGAAGACCGTAGGTCGAGGAGTTAAGACCGAGCTCGTCAGGGAACAGTGACCTTTCGCGTATGCCTGCCTGTCATGATGCTATGTGTCATGGCCGAGCTGAGGAGCTCGGCAATAATGAGTTTACTGCTTGGTTAGGCTGGTAAACCTTTGA